GGCGAGGAAGTGTGCCCAAACCAGCAAGGTGCAGGTGTGGCAATTCCTCTCTTGTTCCCAAGAGAGTCAGCAAGAGGGGGAGGAGAGGCCAGGGAGAGTTCTGCTGAAGGGAGAGGAAGGGTCGTGTCTCCTAGGACTGGATTCTTCCCACATTCAGGAGAAGGGTCAATGTCAGAATGTTGTGTGGGGCTGTAGGAACCTAGACATTGCTGTGGCATTAAGGACCTCTTCACAGACTTTTACTTCACTGTAAACACTGGCTGCCATGGTTAGCAGCTTGCTATTGCTCGGGCTTTCAAGGTGAACTCCATCAAAGAACTGATGAACCCATCTGGGAAGGCTGGGAGGCTGACCAGCCCTCTCCTGTCAGCCCTGAAGGTTTAGAGGGACTTTGCCAAGCTCCGTGGTTAAGTGGGAAACGGGGAGTTATCAGCTTTCTGGCCTTGTTAATTGCCAAGGAAGAATGTCAAGAGAATATCAAGAAGGGAGCCAAGGACAGAACCCAGGAAGGTCGGAGAACTTTATTTGTTTGTAAATGTGCAGACTGGTGTTTGACTTGGCCGTCTTCTGTTCTCTCGTGGATGCTTAGGCCCTGGGTTCTATTCTCCAGGGATGGAAGTCTGGACCCATCCAGAACCTCCCACTGGAGTATGTGTCCTCCCAGCATGCTCTCTGCTCCTGTTTGATGGCGCTCCCTGCTTACAGACTGTTTTCTGGTCTGTGTTCGGAAAACTCCTATTGCTGTGGTCCAGATCGGCAGTGGGTGTCCCAAAGACGCTCATGTGGGTCCCTGGGAAGGAGCGATGACAAAGACAGCTAGCTCATCTGGGTGGAGCGGCTGCGCAGCACCGAGAGCCGCCGCCGTCCTTGGATGGCTTGGATGGACTTAACCCCGCCACTCGCTTATTCTGCAGTGCTCGGCAAGTTCCCCAACAGAAGCTGTGCGAAGTTATTTTGAGAATCAAATAACTTAACCTACATTTGCATGGGCGCTGCTCTGGAGCACACAACAGATGCTCTGGCGGTCCCGAATCCGCTTTTCCTCCCCTCTCCCCCTTACCTGATATGCGATAGCCCATGTCAGTACGCTTGGTAGAATTTATTTGGGGATGGAACCCCAGCTTAATCAAGACAAACGACAAACAGAAACTCTGGGGCTCATTTTCTTGTGTGATTGCAGAAGCCATGCCCAGTTCCATCCAGGGTTCCCACAGTGTGTGCAGATCCCAGTTTTCCTCTTTTCTTTTCTGGGCTCTGCCTTTTCAGTGATTATTTAGTTCCCAGGGTTATTTAGCCAAGGTTCCAGAATTTTATCCAATTAATTTTCATCAGCCTGGCTTAGGTCCCATGCCCATCCCTGAGGCCTGAGAGGAGTAGTGTTCTGAGAAGCCTCTCTCTCTTCTCTCTCTCTCTCTCTCTCTCTCTCTCTCTCTCTCTCTCTCTCTCTCTCTCTCTCTCTGTGTGTGTGTGTGTGTGTGTGTGTGTGTGTG